TTGCATATTTAATTATATTGTAAAATTATTAATTTTTATTTTGTTAAATAAATTGATTAGATCGTTTATAATATTATTATATATAAAAGAATAAAAATATAACATATATTTGGTCAGAAAATTTAATATATATATATAGGACTTTAATTCTTCATATAGATATAGAAAATTGTATATAACTATACTACTAATAAATTAGTTCAAAATAATTTAGAAATCCTTATAAAAGAGTCTAAAACAAATTAAAAGTCAAATAAGTGTAAAAAATAAAAATTAGATGAAAGTATATGAGTGAGTATAATTCACTTTATAATAATAATTCGGAATAAAATAAAAAATCAAAATTTTTTTTTACATATACTGATATTGATAAATAGAATAGATTGATAGTATAATTATAAAAAAAATTAATATTTAAAGATATAAAATAAAATATTTTAATCTTCTAATGTATAAAGTACAATTCGCCTAATAGAATACAAAAACTTTGAAGGCCGTCGACTTTGATGAGGTCAAATAAGGGAACATCTGCCGGTCAAAAAGTCTTACATTCTCTTTGGTTAATTGCACATCAGTCTCTAAAACATAAAATTTACCTTATTTTGATTCTTAATGTTTCAATTGTATCATTTTTATCCACGAAATATTAAATATATTTGTATATGGTCCTTTAAATAGACAACTTTCAGATTACTAATAATTTTTTTATCATAACTTATCACGTAATACCTAAATATAGATAAAAAATAATTTTGATAACTTTTAAATAAAATTTGGGTAACTTTTGACAAAAAATGTATAATATGTGTAGCTTTTGACCAAAATTTAAATAATTCATGATCAAAACTGTGTAATTTGAGTAGTATTTGACTAAAATTTGAGTAAAAAATTGATCAATAATTATCTAAATTATTTTTTTGTCTATATTTAAGTATCACATGACAAGTTTATGATAAAAAAATCATTAAAAATTTGGACGCTAACTACTTAAGGGATCATGTAAAAATATATTCAACATTTTAGGAACTAAAATGATGCAATTAAAATATTAAGGACCAAAATAAGATAAATCACATACTTAAGAGACCTCCAGTGTAATTAACTCTACTTTATATTTTAAAAAATTTAATTTTTTACATTGTACTCTCAATATATTAAAAACTAGTAAATATCCGTGCCTGAAAACACTATATAATTCGTAAAAATTTTGCAAATATTTACCCATGCACGAATACAATGTATAACACATTTCCAACAATCAATATGATTCACTAATATTTTAAAGAACTTTGACAGAATTTCAACCTTTGAAGATAGGAAAATTAAAATCATTAATAAACATTGAAAAATTAATGCACAGGCACAATAACACGTCCTAGTTTTGATTTTTCTTTTCATCTTACCTCTAACTAAAATACCACCCCATACAAAAGTTTTTACAAAAACAGAATGTCTCCGTTATTCGGTGTCACTATTATTCTAAATACCTGATTTTCTATGAAGTAGCAAATATATTAATCTAAGTACCACTACCAAAACCCAGTTGCACCAAATACTATTCAACTTCCTAAAATCTTACAGTTGAGAAACAAAAGTTACATAAGAATAAAAATGTGTGAGAATTCTAATGAAGAAAATTTTCCAAGAGAATGCAGCATTCATTTGAAGCTTCTATGTTAGAATTCTACTTAGGATTTCGCTTGGGCTTTTTCACAACAAAGTTTGTTTGTTTATTCTTTTTTTTTCTTGGTTACCTTGCATCAGTTTTTTAATATAAAAGCATCAATAGATTAGTGAATTAAATAGTGCCACAGACATGTATTCTCAATTTTGATGCCAAAGATGTTTAAAAAAACATTACAAAACATCATATAATAGAAGTGAAGATTAAGCTTTTCCAATAAACGTAAATCTGAGCTTACCACATAACTTGATTTTTTTTTCTTCCCCCAAGATCAATGAATCAACTTCAATAATGAATGAACTAAACTAATTTCATGATCCCAAACCAAACCAATTCACTTTTTCTCAATTCAATATTGTTTTTCTCATATTCACCACTTCAAACAGAATCATTAAAAAGTAAACAACCAATCCAAACTTGAATTAATCATATTAGCAGGATCAACATTAATCCTGCTGGTCAATATCCTAGCTAATGTCCATGCGTAACACAAAATAAAGATATCCAATTAGAAAAAAAATAATAGGTAAGTGACAAAATAAATACAGTAAGATAGAATAAACCTTTATAAACTCATATTCTAACTCATGAAATAGGCTTACAAAGACCATCCAATGCAACCTTTAAAAATTGAAGTTCATGATAGAATTAGAGAAATAGGCTAGTTACCTATTTTTTACACCTATTCGTGAACTATTTGAATAGCTACAACTCATTAACCATTCATTCATTACCTTCAAACCATTTCATCCGGCCTTTAATCTCAACCTGAAATGAACTAAAAAGAACTTTAAAATTATAAACAATATTGGTTACCAATAAAATAGTCGGTTCTACTAAATTGATTCTTCAAAGCATGTTATTATGTTAACTGCTCCTTGAATTTTCTACTCCTGCAATAAAAGAATTTCAATGAAGTTAAATCCACAACTTCTTATCAAACATGACACTTTTATCACTCAGTACAAAATCAGGGAAGAATCACTTATAATAAAAGTGAGAATCACCTTCTAAAATGAACACTTAATTTAATAGCAACAACATCCGTCATTTTGATCCTATTATTTAAAACATAAAGATTGTGATGAACCAACAAAGATAGCCATTAAGCAAAAGATACCTAGTTAACAATATTTAAGTAATTAACTAAAAAAATTAGAGAAAGGAAAAGTGATAAAACATAGCAAGTAGTCGTATAATGAAAAAGCAATGAGCTGGATTTTAAAAAAATTTGGATTCATATGATGCAACTATCCAAAATTAAACTACCAACTAAAAATTCCCTTTTCACATACCTAGTGTGAAAAATGTTGCACTTATGAAGAAGCTTTGAAGGGATAGTGAACTAAGGCTGGGGATCGTGGGATTGCAATACAATCACAGGCAAAGATCACAACATCTATAATATAAAAAGACTATACAACTTAAAAAATATATTATTTACTTTTGAGATTGTTGTGTAGAGATACAAAACACATAGAGATGCAAAAATATAACAGTGAAAACACTATATAAGACACTGTGTGTGGAGTTTTTAGATCATCATAGGTGGGATTCTTGGTCTTGGAAGCTACTATTTTCACTATGTATCTTGTAAATTGACTTGCCTGTAGAATTTTTCTCACTGTTTTGTCGAGAAGCATTGTCGAAGTGACATACGCCACCATTCTCAAATTGTTTAGTATTTGCTATTCCAAGTGGAGATTTATAGGGGTTGGCATTCGGGATTCTTAAAATTGGAGAGATCTTTAAAATTGAATCCAAAAGAAGAGCAATAGATTACTAACCCAAACAATCAAATAAACCCAATAGGCATAAAAATATGAACGACTATTTTTTAATTGATTTTATTCCATCGATCAATAAACGTTAAATTTCAATTGACTCAATTCATAATATAACTAACACTCACAATTGATTCAGTTAGACCAGTGATCTATTGTCAATATTATATGAAGTACCATCTCCCATTTCAGTTACCGTAGGTGTGGAAAACTTTTTTTTTGCCCGTTCTTTCTTTGTGATAAATAGCTTGATAACTCAGTATGCAACTTAACGAACGGGCATGAAATTCAAGTTAATCTTATAAATTGAAGCTTGTTTCTTCTAAGAGCAGAATGGGTTAATAACATTAAATGTCTGTACTACATCACCAACGAGAAGGAAGTATAGATTTTTCTCTCAGTATCAAGCATTACCCAGACTGAACTTCCACTACTGTGGCAGCCACTATGGGCAATGACATGGTGTGGCAGAGGCCGTGGAGACAAAAGACATAGAGGGATAGTAAGGAGAGATGAATTAACACCCAATTTCAAAACCCTAAATTAACACCCAATTCAAAATCCTAGATTAATATATTGGGTGTGTCGTGATGTGTGTGTGTGAGTGCTCTGGGTGGGTGGGTGGGGGGACTCTATGTGTGTGTAGAGAGGGAGGTGAGAAAGAGAGGGGAGAGAGAGAGAAGAGAGCTTACCTAGGTCGGTGGGGGTGGCCGGTGCAGGTTGAGAGGGAAGAGAGAGGTCGCAAAGGAGGAGACAACAGAAAGAAAAAGAAGAAGAGAGACGTTGGGCCCTTGGGAGTTGTGGACTGTGCAAAAGTTTGGACAGGATAAGTTTTTTGTGTGGGATGCATTCTCAGCCTTTGGATTAACTTAAAAGTAGATTAAATCTGAGCCGTCCTTGTGCTTTCCCAAATGAATTAAAATTAGATTAAATTTTGAAGTAAAAATGGATTCAAATTGAATTCTATCTTATTAATATAGATGTTGCAATGTGACTCTTTTATTAATTTTTTCGTCATTGTCAATAAGTTGATTTTTGACAAAAAAAAATAACGAAAGCTAACAGAAGGATCATATTACAATATTTTACATACATTAGGGATATAATGTAAAAATTTTAAACTTCAAAAGTATAAAATGAGAAATTTGAAATCTTTTAGGGTGTAAAGTGCAATAACCCTTTTCTGCCTCTCTCGCATGTGTTTAAGACAACGAATCTCGTCTTTTCCTTACCTAAATTCCGCTCTCTGCATCCAGCCAACCAAAATCTCTCTCTCTCTCTAATCCTCTCAAATTGTCAATGGCGGCGGCTCTTCTCTTTCTCTGCACCTTCCCATAGCTCAGGTGCTTCAACACACACTCACACACACATACATAAAATGTAAATTTTGGTTTTTTTTTCTTCTATTTCATGTGATATTGAACTGTATCTAATCACTTTCCAAATTATATTTGAAACCCTAATTTTCTGGACGACTTCAGGTTGTAGTGCAGCCTGAACTGGTTTTTTTTTTTTTTGGGAGGGGGTTGGGGATGGAAGAGCCGGGGAAGCTGAAACGAGCGTTAATCGATTCTTCGGCTGGGGCATTTGCCGGAGCTGTATCTCGGATCGTAACGTCGCCCCTCGATGTTATTAAGATCAGATTTCAGGTCGATTATCTTTACTTTATTGCTCAATTGCAGTTATGGTTGAGGCTCAATATCTGTTGCTTTTATTTTGTGTTGTTGGAAAAAATATGCAATCTTAAATGTGTTATTGAATGTGTACTTTTTGTTGACTCTTGGTCATCTTTTATACACATCTTGCCTTTGTTCATGGTATATATAAAACCAGAAAGTAAGCTCACATATAGTTCCCATGTTAATGGCAGTTTCCCATGTTGACGGTGGTGCTGTGTTACTTTCCAGTTTACCTATTTAGGGATGTAATGGTAATGCCTTTAGGTGACTGTCTTCCATTGCTCGAGGGATTAGGAATTTGCCCACCGAAATACTTGGAAAAAGTAAAACAAACTTGAAATTTGCTGCACCAATGATGGGCACGAATCCCCTCTCGGGTTGGGAGGGAGGGAGGATGAAACGGATTTATACTTTATATGTTATCATGATTCACCAACAATAAAAAAATCAGTAACATTAAGCTTAAATCAGATTTTTTTTTTTTTTTGATAGGAAACAAAATAGTTTTTATTAATAAAAACAAAGTTTACATTAAAGTTGTTGGATGAGAAATCCAACCAATAAAAAGCAAACATAATTAGCCTATATATCACATGAAACTTATCACATGAAACGTGTTTTAGTGATTGCCTCTGTGCATGTGCTTGAATGGTAGGGGACTTAAAGATGTGATTTGTATACATTGACAGGTTCAACTGGAACCCACTTCTTCATGGGCCTTGCTTCGCAATGATGTGTATGGAGTATCAAAATATACTGGTATGGTGCAGGCAACCAAGGACATTTTCAGAGAGGAAGGTTTACGGGTATTGGTTACTTCATTATTAGAGGAATATGATCCATGTCTTAGACTTGTTTGACACCGACACTCTGCCGAAAATGAAGTGTTCGTGCTTCCTAGTTTGACGCCTTTTAAAACTTTGATTGTCGGGCCTACATTTCAAACATACCTTAGGAATGCATGTAGGAAGAATTTTTAGGTGCCTTATATATTCCAAATGAATAGATTTAAAACCCACTTTTTATTTTGATTAGAAAAACCCACTTTTTTTTTTTTGCCCAAATTTGCAAGACCATTTGTATGGGTATCTGCTGAACATGATCAATCAATATAGATGCGTAGTTTTGAATGTGTGTGCATATAGATTCTCTCTTTGTATAAATACCATATGAAATGATTTTCGAGATTCATACTCCTTCCAAAATAAGCCACAATTTTATAATTCATGCTTATTTTTTTAATAGGAAACAAAACTTTCATGCCATGAAATTATGAAAATGTACAGAAATGGTGGATAAAAAATCTACTCACAAGAGCAAAAAAATACAAAAATGAATGTAACAAAAAATAACTATCAACTACAAAAGGCTTTCCAATTGTATTGAAGAACTGATATTACGAAACTTGTTAGAAACGCAGCCCATAAGCGTACTCCTATCATGAATTATAAAACATGCAAGCGGGTGTTTCCAGCTCGTTACTACTTCATTTCTCTTCTGTGGTTCTTTGTTAGTTTATGACCATACAATACCACCTTCACAAGTTCTACCTTTGATTTCTAAAAAGAGAATACAGGGTCTCCATCGATAATTTTAGGCATGGCTTGCACCTTCTACAAAATATTATTTGAGCTAGTTTCTCATTACAGGGTTTTTGGCGTGGTAACGTGCCAGCACTGCTCATGGTTATGCCATATACTTCCATACAATTTACCGTGTTGCACAAATTGAAGACATTTGCAGCTGGTTCTTCCAAGGCAGGTCCGTTCAAGAACCAATATGCCCATTTTGAAAATTATAATTTTTTCCCTCTTTGGCAATGCAGTGTTATATAGGATTATAATTCACGTCACAATGACTAATCTCTCCCCGAACCCCCATCACCCAGTCCTGGTTCTGTGGTCATTCAGTTTGGCTAATTTCAATTGAGTTCAATCACATGCATTTTTGCGTGCTTGACGTTGGATTGATATTGATTAACTGCTGATCCTTCCGGATATGATGCAGTTTTGAGTTGTTTAATTGTTTGAACAAATCTTTGGAACGACTCTGGTTAGTCACGATGCCATAAGTTGCTTTTACTGAGACTTTTGGCATCCTGTATGCATTTTCTTTGTCGAGTATTTTGTCATCTAGGGGGGATTATGTGTGTTTGGTTATGGTGATGATCCATAGGATTTCTGATGTCCATTGTTGAAACGTGTGCCAGTAAAAATTCCTTTCCATGTCTTGCCTTTGGTAAAAAAAAAAGGGGGGGGGGGGAATTGAAAAATCGTGTCCTGTTAGAGATGCCAACACTTACAGTTGCTCAATACAAGGAGCATTAACCTTGGAAAAAGGCCTCCGAATTAAACATTTTTTTTTTGTTGTTGATGTTTTTTCACTCTCACATGCATGGCCTGGTTGTTTTCCTTTGTTGCAGAAGATCACATTCACTTAAGCCCTTACCTATCTTATATCAGTGGGGCATTAGCAGGGTGTGCGGCTACTCTTGGATCATATCCGTTTGATCTTCTAAGAACTATTTTAGCTTCACAGGGGGAGCCAAAGGTATATTTGAATACGTGCAATGAAATTAAATTATGTCCTTGTATCTATCTTTTTATTCCCAAGAAATTTTGTTTTACTATAGTTGTTAACTTTGCATGGGATTCAAATTTTGAAGGCCCGCTACTCACTCATTATTGCCCACCCCTCTACGTGGGAAAAAGGAAAAGTAAAGGTAAATATCATAGTTGGTCTCTGAACTTTGCTTCTGATTTCAATTTGGTCCTTGAACTTCAATTGTTCCAATTTAATCCCTCAACTATCAATTTTGTCTCAATTAAGTCATTCCGTCCATTTCCACCATTAGATCAATGCTTAAATGTATTAGATTAAGCTTGTGTCCGGTTGATCTAACGGTTGAAATTGTTGGAATGACTTAATTGAAATGAAATTGATAGGTGAAGAGACCAAATTGGGATAATTGAAAGTTCAGGGATCAAATTAAAACTGGAGACAAAATTCAAGGACTAATTATGATATTTACCAAAAAGTAAAAGTGCCGCATCTTCACTTAGGAGAGAAGGCTCCTCTTTGTTTGATGTTTAGCAAACGTTCTCTTTTAACTTCTGAAAACTCTAGTTTATCATTGGGGCTTCTATTTTCCATCGGTATATTTGCCTGGGGGCACCATAATAGACAACGATATCAGACTTTTTTTATTTTGACAAGAAACAATGAAACTACAAATCATCAGGCATAGTTTGCCTTTGTATTATTTGTTGACAATAGTGTTGGTGCACTATCTGTCAACATGTTTGGTTTACTCGTGTAACATAATATTGCTGTCTTGAGCACACATCTATATAATAAATTAGATAGGTGTTTGAACTTATGGGGGGTATATCACCCCCCCAAAAAAAAAAAAAAAAATTTACACGCCTAACACACTTTCCTCCTAAATTTCAAAAACTCAATACACACTCCATAACACACAGTTACACATACACTCCAACACACATTCCAATGCATGCACAGAATCATAATTTAGTGTACAGTGGCTTAAGTTAGTGTCAGATTCTGAATAGGGTAAATTACACTTTGACCTCTCAACTATGACTATTTTTTCACTTTGCCCCCTCAACTATAACCATTTTATCACTTTGTCCCCTCAATTATGACCATTTTTTCACTTTGTCCCCTCAACTATGACCATTTTTTCACTTTGCTCCCTCAATTATCATGTTTTTCACATTGTACCTCAACAATGTGATTAGTTTCATATTGCCTTAGTTATTAATCTTCGTTATGCCTCTAACGGAAAGTTATTTCATTTTTGCTCCCCAAACTATGTAAAATTTTTCACTTTACTCCGATATGTCAGTAATTTTCGTCCAAAAAGATAACGGACGTTTTCAATCGGGGCAAGGTGGAATAATCAAAGTAGTTGAAGGGGTAATGTAAAAAATTTAATAGTGCAAGAGACAGTGAAAAAAGGGTCATAATTGAGGGGGGGAAATGTAATTTACCCTTCTTAATATTATTCCTTTGATGTAAAGGGAGCTTAGAAGACGACAGGCGTGAATTGGTCACCATTATGCTGTTTTATGGGGATTCCACTCATAGTATATGACATTTATTCCTGTTCCTTGCCATGGAAATTTAGCATAAAGGTGTAGCAAAAAAAAAAAAAAATTAACAGTGAACATGTTATTTCATCCATCATATCCACATGCATTGAGATTCTTTGGGCATGCTAATGTGCTATATCTGCATTTAGGTGTATCCAACCATGAGGTCTGCATTTGTTGATATAAGCACCACTCGTGGCTTTAGAGGGTTGTATGCTGGATTGTCACCTACACTGGTTGAGATTGTTCCTTATGCTGGCATGCAGTTTGGAACCTATGATACATTCAAGCGGTGGGCCATGGTAAGTTTGCATTCTTCTTTTCAATGTAATATGTCACTTCTCATTTTTTGAATGTATACAATTCTCGTTGTGCATACATATTTACATTCCTTGATACATTTGTTCCATTCCATTTTGGAGAAGTTCGGTATGACTAAAGTGAGATAAAGCTGTCAAAATTTCAAAATCTCTTGTATTTACTTGGTGCACATTATTTATGCTTTATATTATGTTCTGTATTCTGGATGCTAGAATCAAGTTGTCAAAAGCATGGGTTCTTGGATGCAGTGGTGAGTTGTTCTTCAGTTTCTAGGAATGATAGGTTTTCAACCATCCTGGCTTGGCCCCATAGTCCAAACGGTACAGATTTGGAAAGACCGGTTTGGAAGGCTGCCTGATGTAGATTGTAGTAGGGAAGAATTAGGGATGAAAAGGGAAGAAGAAAGGGATGAGGATAGAGAGAGAATTTGAGGAAGAAGGATTCTATATCAATAATCAAAGTCTAATCTCACAACAAATATGTATCCCCTATATATATAAGGAGTTCACAAATCCTATATATATAAGGAGATCACAAACCCTAAAATAAATAAATAATCAAAATAACAACTAAAATCTTAAAAATTAAAAGAAAATATTTGAAAAGATAAATACTAATTGTTCTCATGATTAATCTAAAATATCTATTCAATTCCTATATGATCTCCATCATTGCCCATCCTTTCTCATTTTTAAAGCTAATGGGAGAGGTCGGGTCAATATATAGAATCCAGTTGTTCAAAGTCGAAGTGAATTTCGCAATTCTGTGAAACTTGCTTGATTATACCCAATTAGAGTTCTTTCTGGAAACTAGTTAATGCAGACGTGCGTTGCACATGGATTATTGTGAATTATGATTATTTCATAATTTTTTTATGTTGATTATGAATTAAAATATATGTAGTGATTTAATCTGTAATTTTATTATGAACGTCTTTTAATTTTTTCATATCTAGTAAATAACTTAATTAGTGAAAGACAGAACACTTAGTTGGTTTAGGTTTCAATAAGAGTTTTATATGATTAGTTATGATTATAGGATAACGACATTACAAAGCTTAATTTTTAAATAAAATCTAGCTTAAGTTTGATTTTTGATAGGAAATGGGTCACGTCAAATTCCTCATTGTAGACGTCTTAATTTTGGTTAATGTCCAGAAAATATTGAAATGATATTTACTGTTACTTGAGAATGATATTCACTTATAAGTAAAAGAAGCATCAATAATGAGCAAAAATGAAAGGCTTAAAAGACTGAATAAATTTATATCAATTCCTAAATTACATGTCTCTCAATGAGATGATCATAAACTGCAACCAGGATCAATAGGAGAAATTCAATATGCCAAAATTCTGCTACATTATAGGCAGAAAATTCTGCAATGTTAGAAAGATGAAAAAAGTGACTTTCCTCTTACCACATACTCTTCTAGAATATTTTTGGATTGACGTTGTGAATATGTCATTATGTTCATGGTTTGTAGAACAAAAACAAGTTGTTGGAGTGTATTCAAATATCAACAACCAAATGAAATATGAAAAACAAGAATTTGATAACATATGATATATATGAAAAATTTACTAATCTAGACATCCATGGCTCTTTAAACCAAGAAAAGAAAAGAAAAAAATAACAACTTTCTTGCTCTCTTGCTAAGATCAATGGTATATCTTCATCCTTCGCAACAGTCGTATATGACTTGATTCACTTTCTTTAGATTTGGTTTGGGACTCGAAGTTCTGAAGAGTTTGTGTGTAGATATATTTACATGGAGAGATAGAGAAAGAGATGGAGAGAGGGAGACCTTTTGCGAGATTGAAACTAAACCTATGTAGGCATAACCAAATACACTGAAGCAATAAGAGTTTATTTTCTTCATCCTCCCGTAGATCTCCTAAAACAACAAAAAATATATAATCCCCAAGAGATAAACAATCAATAATAAAAACATGAGTAGTTTACAAATAAAAAAATGAGAATTAATACTTCAGAGAGAGTTTTTATGTGCAATGAATTTGGGAAATTTAAAGAACTCAAAAGTGAATCACTCTAATGAGAGAAAGCGTGAGAGAGAAATTCTAGAGAAGTGAAAAGTTACCAAGTAGCAATTGTAAAGTTATTGAGATGAAAATGGAAGTTTGCAAATACAATAAGGAATAGAAACAGGTAAAACATAAGAAGCCTGTCAAGTGTTAATGCTAATGATGTGTTCGCCATTTGTCTTTTGGTATTCCAAATGATAAATGATATATTAACCGGAACTTAATATTTATTCATAAATTTCTTTAGGGTTATGTATAGTTATTTGCAAATTATTTATGGTAGCTATGGATAGTAGATAAAATGGACATTAGATAATCAATTGAGGGTAAAGTAGGAAAATAAAAGTTTTGCATGTAAAGGTACTTTTATTAGTAGTATAGATTTATAGTTCTTGGTTATGTTTTAAGGACAGATCCTAAAGATGTGAAGGAATTGTTATTCTTAAATTTATTTTTTTGGTGTGTAGTCCAGTTTTTTCCTCTCATCTTTAATAGGATATTTTGGGGATAATAAACATTTTGTAAACATATGTAGCCTTTTTCTTCTCTTGACCAACAAAATTCTGTTGTTGCTGACCAAATGTAAATATGTTTTTCTTTCCTGTCTATAAATTTTTTGATAACAGTGAAATGCAGGCTTAACATGATTTATCTTGTTTTTTGCAGGCTTGGAACCGGTTTAGGTCATCTAATGCAAACCAAGCTTACAATAACCTTTCAAGTTTTCAGGTTTTGATTTGTGGGTTAGCTGCTGGCATATGTGCTAAAGCTGTCTGTCATCCACTTGATGTGGTCAAGAAGAGGTTCCAGGTAGATATCCAACCTTCTTGATCTGATAGATATCTCCTCTTAGCATCAAATATTTGTACTGAATCTACTGGCAAACTGTTGTTTGACGACTACCTATTTTTGGCTGAACACTGTTGTGGTCAATGTGCTCATCTGTAACCATCGGTGAGCAAATCTTCCTTATGTTTTTGTAGTAAGATTACAGATACCAGGATCGTGGATACCCCTACTGTCTCGCGAAACGGGGTTGCACGACCCGAAACAGGGTGGGGTCGTGATCTGGATCACTTAAATTCTCGACCTCAAATTGTAATGTGTATATGAATGTACAATTAAATATAATCTCATATAATATAGAAAGAAATCCAATAGAAAATGAACCATGACCCAGAACAGCATACCCAACTAAACTTGTCCCCATCGCACCATGTATTGGAAGAAGTACCATACTGAGAACCCATAGATGTATTTATATACCAAATGGACCCAGGGTCGAGGTAACATTGAGTAAGAATGTAATGTTATCAATTTGTTCTTGGGTAATTTGTGAAAGAGCACGGAATTCTAAGTGAGATTAGAAGAATCTTTATTCTCTGTCATGCAGAGGGGTTCCATATTATCAAAACTGGATCCAAACTAAATTTGATTGCTTGAAAGGCCAAGCTGAAACTGAAATGGGATTGAGGCCAACTTAGATCTTCATTCAGTTTGTTTTACTTTTCTTCCAATACTTATGGTCCCCGTTTATCAAAATTCTGTCTTTGCCTTACTGGGTTGATTTCCAACTTTTAGGTGGGCACAAGGACTTCATATAAGGATCTCACATACCCGTCTTTTTAATCATATTTTTTTCAGCACAATGTTTTCTTCCTATATTTGCTTCTGGTCTTTCCGTAGTGATGAGGTTCGTGTAGGAATTGGATAGATTAATTATGATAGTTATTTAGATATTTTTAATATTTATCGTTTAAGTAATTTCTTTTAACTTTTAAGGGTTTTGTTATCATTATGACTATTTATTTCTTTTAGAGTTCTTTTAAGATTTGTGCTCTTCCTATATATATAGAGAATATAGTATTTGTTTTGGGGGACTTTGATTATTGATTATTGATATTGAATTTTCTTTTTAAAATTCTCTCTATTCTCATCTCCTTCTTATTCTTTTCTTATCCCTTTCTTCTTCCCTTCTCATCCCTAATACGATCTACATCAATTTGGTATGAGAGGCTAATTTCGATTTGAAAAAAAAAAAAAAAACGAAGTTACTGTTCATCGCACTGTTCACCCAAAAACTGTTCATCCAAAAACACTATTCATCAGTGAAAAAAAAAAATTGTCCCAGCAGATTTAGAAAATTACAAAAAAATCCTAGTTGTTCCAGAAATTACAGAAACACCCTAGAAAGTTACAGAAGTTGCAGAACTACCACTAGAAGTTTCAAAAATTGCAGAATCTTCCCTCAGAAGTTTCAAAAATTGCAGAATCATCCCCAAAAGTTTTAGAATTTTTTTTTGATTATGATATGCATACTTCCCATGAAATTTGAGACTAATATTTTTATTCATTAAAAAATTAGAGAATTTGCAAAGCATCCAAAACATATTTTCTTCTATTTAAGTTTTGTCACTTCTCATAATTATTAATTGCGTTTTTGAACTCATTGTTATGTTATTCTCATTTTTTAAAGTCAATCATGAGTTCATATGATCATTATGATGCCTATTCATATACTTATCCAACATCAAGAATGTCTCAAGTTCATAGTTCTCTACAACGTCATCACTATACATATTCCACTCTTAGAGCTTCTTGGAGTCATTATAAAGTCCATAATAAGTTTGAGTTTTATTTTGAATATTATCTAGAATACTACTCTGGGACACTTTGGTCACATAACAGTTACTAATATCATGCTTCCCAAAGTTGTTATCAAGGTCAATCTGGATCAATTTTCAATGTTATTAGTGACCATTCAAAAGCCCAAATTGCCCTAGGAAAAAAAGTTGAGATCTTTGAAATTGAAGTTGCCAACACTAAACATTCACTCGGCCAATTACGTGAAGAATGTAGAGGGGTGAAAAACCAATTATCTGAATTAACAAGTCAATTTTTTCACTTGAATAAAATTCTTGCAAGTCAGTAAATGATAGCCATATTTTTGTTCCATTAGACCCTCATGCTTTACATCCTTCAAAACATACTTTCAATCGTTTGAGCATTGATACTAGTGATGAGATTATTTTTGATCCTATCATGTTTCCTACCTCATCAGTGCCAGAAGTTGAATCACTGCTAAGCATTGAACTTGAGGAAAAATTCATTCAGTTAGCTCCTATGCAAGATGTTGAGCATATTGAGCTATCTATTTTTACAATCTGTTGGCAATTATTCTATCTGTACTATTCCGAATCATCATAGCATTGTTGTGGATTCTTCTTCATTTGAGATTATTGATTTTGTTTCGGATTCTTCTTCACCTGAGATTGTTGACATTGTTCTAGATTCTGCCCCACTTGAGATTGTTAACTTTGATTCTTTACCTACTGTCAAGTGTTCAATTGAGTCTGTACTTTCTTATTTTCAGCACCAAGGTGTTATAATCACTCCTTTGTCATTGATGTCTTGTCCCGTTGAATGCCAGTTGTTCAAATCTAATGGGAATTGTTTTGTTATTCTTGAGTTTGGATCTATTGCTTATTTGCTTAATTTTTCATTGAATGTTAGTATTAGTTCAGATTTTTATTTGGAAGACATGTTACTTAATCGAGATACTTCAGAGCTTCCTATTTTGTTATCAGGTGTTTCTACAAGTGGAATTGTTTCTTCCTCAGCATTAGTTCCAACTCTTATCTTTCCACTTTCATCGCGTATTTCAAGGCAAATAGATGATGTGTTACGTGATTAGAATTACATTGCTACAGATGGAGATTCTTGCATTTATTCTGATCGATGGAAAGATATTAATGGTTCTTTCATTCTAGATGAGACATTATGTCATCTTCATCCTCCTCTCTTGGGGTACTTCTACTTTAAAGATTTCCAGAGGAGAGTTTTTTTCAACCGGAGAAGAATGATGAGGATCGTGTAGGAATTGGATAGATTAATTATGATAGTTATTTAGATACTTTTAATATTTATCGTTTAAGTAATTTCTTTTAACTTTTAAGGGTTTAGTTGTCATTATGACTATTTATTTCTTTTAGAGTTCTTTTAGGATTTGTGCTTTCCCTATATATATAGGGAATATGTATTTGTTTTGGGGGACTTTGATTATTGATTATTGATATTGAATTTTCTTTCTAAAATTCTCTCTATTCTCATCTCCTTCTTCTTCTTTTCTCATCTCTTTTTCTTCCCTTCTCATCCCTAATTCTTCCATAATACGATCTACATCACCTCGTCTACCAATCCACTTTAGTTACCAGAGATGTCTAATCAGGAGGTAAAGTAAGTTCAGCCAGTCTGACTTTCCTGAAATTTGCTTGTAGATGGGCCATCAAGTTCCGACATCTTTTACACTAGTGGTAAAGGTATAATGAGTTTGGGGGATTGTGGTCAAATTTGCTTGTGTTGACGAGGCCTACAGCTTATTTTTTTGTCTTTTGAACTGGGAGGGCCATACCTGGAAGCAATAGGATTTCATAAGTTAGCTTAATGTAAGCCTATAGATATCAAAAGTGGAGTGACTCATAATTGGAAACTTATGATCCCGTTTTAGAGTGCTTGTGAGTTCTTATTGGGAATAGTTTTTGCTTTTATGTTGTCTCTCTTTTCTTTTTTGGCCTTGGTCTTTGCAATGGCTGCAACTTTCCTTCTTTGATATGTTAACTAGTAGTTAATCTGGGAAGTACTCTCGTTATTCTATTGGTTATATCCGTTGCATATGACAGTCAATTGGGTAGAACAATACTATTGAATGCATTTTTATGGTAGGTAGTGGTTTTTGATGTATGTTCTTTTGCAGATTGAAGGACTACAGAGGCATCCAAGATATGGAGCTCGAGTTGAACATCATGCATACAAAAATATGTATGATGCTCTTCGTAGGATTTTGCAGCAAGAGGGTTTGCACGGTCTTTATAAGGGCATTGTACCATCAATTGTCAAATCTGCACCTGCTGCTGCTGTTACATTTGTTGCATATGAGTATACATCAGATTGGCTACAGTCCATTTTGACTTGAAGCTGACTTGATTTTTCCCGTTTCGGTGAGGTTCTAATTCTTTTATCTTTCGTATACTATAAAGCCCTAACGAGAAGAAAGAAGGGCCACTTTTTTTTTTTTATTATTTGATTTAGTCATTGTTCATAGGCTAGAAGTTATAGTTGTACCAAAAACATAAATGTCAAGGCAAAATCAACAAGCTTAGAGAGCACAATAGTTTATTTTGATTCTATATGCATTTGTTCACTTGTTGTTGGGTACCTCCTCTGTGTTTGTGTTGTGATGTGAGGTGGATGTTTCATCGGATCATCAAGAAACACAATTTTAGTAATGGGGGGCTAGAACAATCTTCCAGGTACACTGAAAGATACTAAGGTACAAGCCTATTTGAACAGCAAAGCTAGAGCCTTCACAGGGGCAATCTGAATTCAAGTGCTGGGGCATGGGGTGAGGCTACCAAAGGAGTTTTTTTTTTGATTGAAAAATAAAAAAATGTTGATAAAAGAGAGATTCAGAGACCATTTCCGATAGGCCTTTACTTACTGGTGGGATCATGAAGCTCCTAACCGCCTATGTTACTCCTCTCAAAAATAAATATAGTTAAGTTAATATAGCAGTCAACTATCGAGTCCTAATGTGAATTTCAAAACTCAGATTTTCAAACCCAGGGTGAGAAATTTGGTTAGTATCCCATTAGATCACCTAACTTGGTGGTACGAAAGGAGTTTTTGCCACTGAAACAATAGGGCTACCAAATCTTGAAACTACAAAATTCTATAACTGGACAGTAGAACATTTCTTACACAGCTGCAAAAACAACATCTACCCCAGATGTACAATGCATTAATATGAGCATCAAACTTCACTGCATTCTCATTCTTACAAAGTAGATCCCTCATGCAATGGTGTTATGTGAGTAAAGCAAAATGTCAAATGAATATAGGTGATCATCATTGTCATCGTTCTTTTTATTCACGTCCTTTGGAGGCAGTAATACAAACAGCTGGATCCTCTGAATCTGCACAGAATCACCTCCGAGGCGCACCAAAATCTGGGGAATATCTATAGGTCCGTCATGATCATCAACCTTGCCTTGTTGCAAGTATAATGAGGCATATCTATGAAACATTTTGGGTTCTTGGAGGAACAAGCCATTGCCTCGAATTTGCCAGACTCTGGTACTTTTACCTCGGAAATATATTTTTAGAAAAAAAAATATATTAACCATCGACAAATTCAAAATAACATACAATACATAGAGTAATAAACAAAACACAATGGCTAATAAACAATCATAAAGTTCAATATAACTCAAGATTTCAATAAATAAAATTAAATGACATCTATATTAATAAGATAGAACCCAATTTGAATCCATTTTTACTTCAAAATTTAATCTAATTTTAATTCATTTGGAAAAGCACAAAGACAGTTCAGATTTAATCTACTTTTAAGTTAATCCAAAGGCTGAGAATGCATCCCACACAAAAAACTTATCCCGCCCAAACTTCTGCACAGTCCACAACTCCCAAGGGCCCAACGTCTCTCTTCTTCTTTTTCTCTCTGTTGTCTCTTCTCTCTCTCTCTCCCCTCTCTTTCTCACCTCCCTCTCTACACACGCACACACAGTCACACACACACAATCCCCCACCCACCCAGAGCACTCACACACACACACATCACGACACACCCAATATGTTAATCTAGGGTTTTGAAATTGGGTGTTATTTCATCTCTCCTTACTTTCCCTCCATGTCTTTTGTCTCCACGGCCTCTGCCACACCATGTCATTGCCCATGGTGGCTGCCACATTAGTGGAAGTTCAGTCTAGGTAATGCTTGATATTGAGAAAAAAATCTATACTTCCTTCTCCTTGGAGATGCAGTACAGACATTTAATGTTATTGAACCATTCTGCTCTTAGAAGAAACAAGCTTCAGTTTATAAGATTAACTTGAATTTCATGCCCGTTCGTTAAGTTGCATACTGAGTTATCAAGCTATTTGTCACAAAGAAAGAACGGGCAAAAAAAAAGTTTTCCACACCTACGGTAACTTAAATGGGAGATGGTACTTCATATAATATTGACAATAGATCATTGGCCTAACTGAATCAATTGTGAGTGTTTGTTATATTATGAATTGAGTCAATTGAAATTTAACGTTTATTGATCGATGGAATAAAATCAATTAAAAAATAGTCGTTCATATTTTTATGCCTATTGAGTTTATTTGATTGTTTGGATTAGTAATCTATTGCTCTTCTTTTGGATTCAATTTTAAGGATCCCGAATGCCAACCCCTATAAATCTCCACTTGGAATAGCAAATACTAAACAATTTGAGAATGGTGGCGTATGTCACTTCGACAATGCTTCTCGACAAAACAGTGAGAAAAATTCTACAGGCAAGTCAATTTACAAGATACATAGTGGAAATAATAGCTTCCAAGACCAAGAATCCCACCTATGATGATCCAAAAACTCCATACACAATGTGTTATATAGTGTTTTCACTGTTATATTTTTGCATCTCTATGTGTTTTGTATCTCTACACAACAATCTCAAAAGGAAATAATATATTTTTTAAGTTGTATAGTCTTTTTATATTATAGATGTTGTGATCTTTGCCTGTGATTGTATTGCAATCCCAGGGTCCCCAGCCTTAGTTCATTATCCCCAGCCTTAGTTCACTATCCCTTCAAAGCTTCTTCATAAGTGCAACATTTTTCACACTAGGTATGTGAAAAGGGAATTTTCAGTTGGTAGTTTAATTTTGGATAGTTGCATCATATGAATCCAAATTTTTTTAAAATCCATCTCATTGCTTTTTCATCATACGACTACTTGCTATGTTTTATCACTTTTCCTTTCTCTAATTTTTTTAGTTAATTACTTAAATATTGTTAACTAGGTATCTTTTGCTTAATGGCTATCTTTGTTGGTTCATCACAATCTTTATGTTTTAAATAATAGGATCAAAATGATGGATGTTGTTGCTATTAAATTAAGTGTTCATTTTAGAAGGTGATTCTCACTTTTATTATAAGTGATTCTTCCTTGATTTTGTATTGAGTGATAAAAGTGTCATGTTTGATAAGAGGTTGTGGATTTAACTTCATTGAAATTCTTTTATTGCAGGAGTAGAAAATTCAAGGAGCAGTTAACATAATAACATGCTTTGAAGAATCAATTTAGTAGAACCGACTATTTTATTGGTAACCAATATTGTTTATAATTTTAAAGTTCTTTTTAGTTCATTTCAAGTTGAGATTAAAGGCTGGATGAAATGGTTTGAAGGTAATGAATGAATGGTTAATGAGTTGTAGCTATTCAAATAGTTCACAAATAGGTGTAAAAAATAGGTAACTAGCCTATTTCTCTAATTCTATCATGAACTTCAATTTTGAAAGTTTGCATTGGTTGGTCTTTGTAAGCCTATTTCATGAGTTAGAATATGAGTTTATAAAGGTTTTATCTATCTTACTGTATTTATTTTGTCACTTACCTATTATTTTTTTTCTAATTGGATATCTTTATTTTGTGTTACGCATGGACATTAGCTAGGATATTGACCAGCAGGATTAATGTTGATCCTGCTAATATGATTAATTCAAGTTTGGATTGGTTGTTTACTTTTTAATGATTCTGTTTGAAGTGGTGAATATGAGAAAAACAATATTGAATTGAGAAAAAGTGAATTGGTTTGGTTTGGGATCATGAAATTAGTTTAGTTCATTCATTATTGAAGTTGATTCATTGATTTTGGGGGAAGAAAAAAAAAATCAAGTTATGTGGTAAGCTTAGATTTACGTTTATTGGAAAAGCCTAATCTTCACTTCTATTATACGATGTTTTTTAATTTTTTTTAAACATCTTTGGCATCAAAATTGAGAATACATGTCTGTGACACTATTTAATTCACTAATCTATTGATGCTTTTATATTAAAAAACTGATGCAAGGTAACCAAGAAAAAAAAAGAAGAAATAAACAAACTTTGTTGTGAAAAAGCCCAAGTGAAATCCTAAGTGGAATTCTCACATAGAAGCTTCAAATGAAGGCTGCATTCTCTTGGAAATTTTTCTTCATTAGAATTCTCACATGTTTTTATTCTTATGTAACTTTTGTTTCTCAACTGTAAGATTTTAGGAAGTTAAATAGTATTTGGTGCAACTGGGTTTTGGTAGTGGTACTTAGATTAATATATTTACTACTTCATAGACAATCAGGTATTTAGAATAATAGTGACACCGAATAATGGAGACATTCTTTTTTTGTAAAAACTTTTGTATGGGGTGGTATTTTAATTAGAGGTAAGATGAAAAGAAAAATCAAAATTAGGACGTGTTATTGTGTCTGTGCATTAATTTTTCAATGTTTATTAATGATTTTAATTTTCCTATCTTCAAAGGTTGGAATTCTGTCAAAGTTCTTTAAAATATTAGTGGGTCATATTGATTGTCGGAAATGTGTTATACATTGTTTTCGTGCATGGGTAAATATTTGCAAAATTTTTACGAATTACATAGTACTTTCAGACACGGGTATTTACTGGTTATATAATAAATTCCATACATCTCATCTGTCGAAAATGTTCTATTTGCATAGCATCCATGACAACAAAAGAGATCCATGAAACAGTTCGCTCATTTTACTATTTACCATGAAACCAAGCCAATATGCACAAGAGTAACACAGCTCAACAATTCAACAATTCAACAAATTTAATACTGCACCTGTGTGCGAGCCCTTGAGACCAAGCAAATATGGAGGCTATATTGTTTGTGCTGGTTTCACCTCCTTTCTGATGAACCCTGTAACGGCAAGTGACAGTTCCATGTGCTGCTTTGGCTTCTATGGTCTATCCATCTGGGCAGACCTGAACACAATCCAGAGTGCATTGAAATCCAAACCAAAAATGCATCTTACTGTATATAAATGTAGGAAGCAAGAAACAAAGTATTTGACCAGTGCACTCCGTAATAATAATATAAGCAAGAAACAAGCTTGTATATTGAG